AGCCTCCTCCTGCCTATTTTCGGCACAAGAAAAAAATATGATGATGGGTTCATGGCCGACTGGAAAGGGGAGAGTCTGCTAACGATGAACATCTGAGAGCAGTGAAACACCGACAGACAGACAGACAGACAGACAGACAGCAAAGGGTAGCGTGCTAAACCAACATCAAAGAGCACCCAGCTGGTTACCCCCCCACTCTTGCCCCCCCATCCAGCTCTGTTACCCTCAGATGGCCCACTTCCAGCTCCAACCTCTGCCCACTCATTACCCAATCAACATCAGCAGCAGTCCCATCCAGACAATAATAACCTGTATGCCGGCTTTATAAATATAGAAGAACTTCGAGGTCACTCATTCATTTCTGGGACTCTTTATTCTAAAATTACAGCTAGTCTGAACACAATGGTCTTCATCGCGCTCAACAGCTGTAATTTTAGAATAAAGAGTCCCAGAAGTGTCTCCTGTGCTTCTTTTAAGGAAGTGCACGTGTTTAGTGAAGCAATGCAGGGCAAAGAAACTCTGCATTAAGAACAAAGCTACTCATCGAGTAAATATTGTTTGGAGTTTTTAAAAGTGCTGGGTGTTGCCTTTGTGAGTAAAGATGAACAAGGACAAAAGCAGAAGATAAAAGTTGCATTGCAACAAGAAAAAAGAAAAAATCACAAAATCACAAAAATAAATTAACTAAATTAACTAAAAGTATTCAGCAAAAAAAACTTGTTTGACAGCAAACAACTTCTACATTTTAGATACATAAAATTACATTTTGAAAAAGAAACTGCAAAGGAAGATAATAAACAAGAAACAGGCCATTACGTGCACGTTGGTAAGATGCAAAGTAGAAGAAGTGGTTCTGTACCTTCATGTCGTTCATGATGAGCTGGAAGAGCCCTCCCAAGGCGCTGCATTCCTTCTCGATACCCGCATCCATTTTTTCAAAAAACTTTTACCTCCAAAAAAAACAAACTAAAACTTCCAGCCGAAGTTTTTTTCTTGAATCCTCCAAAAGTAAAATCAATGGAGCCTTTCTTTTATTTAATTGAGGGAGGGGAGTTACAACACCCCGAGGCCAAAGTCCACCTTTAAAAAACAGAAGAAGAAGAAGGAACAACCCGCAGTGGAAAAAACATCCAGGAGTTAAATCCAGGTCGCGAGCAGCCGAGAGACTTAACGTCAGGCTTCGGTCAGCCGATGCTACCGACCGGCCAGCTGGACAAACGTCCGAGAAAACACCACATCGTGCCCGAAACCACACACGGCACACCGCCCGGGAGAAGCGTCCGACCGCGCGTTGGTGCTAAAGTCACCCGGGGCTTAAACAAAAAAAAAAGAAGGCGAAAAGGGCAGCTAACCACCGCTAGCTAACTCGGCTAGCTAGGTTAGCATGAACTCCGCTAGCAACCTGTGTGCGTAATTCCTAAACACGGAGTCAGTTTGTCCTCAAAAGAAAAAGGAGACCGACGCGGCTTTTAACCGACGTCCAGCTCGGGTTCAGAATCCACACACGTCGTTGTGTCGTGACGTGTCTCTTCGGGATGATTCACGTTGTTTTTTCTAGCGAGTTTTCTTCTCTTTTTTTGGGGAGGGGGGGTTTGCGTGTGACGAGCGGAGCAGCCGTTTGCCTCCAGTTGCTCCAGCGGGAGTCGGTGGCCGTGGAGGGAATGAGAGCGCGGCTCTCCGAAGCACCGCGGCGAGCTAGCGACAGCGACGCTGGCGCACATCCGGCCCCGGAGTGTCACAATAAAAGCCCGTAGTACAGGTGCAGCAGAGGTGGAAGGAGTTCGTCTCTAAATGAGGATAGAAATACAACTTTGTATAAATAATGACACAAATGACAACAGTAAATGTTATGCTTTCACAATTTTACATGGGATTAATAAAATTCAATCAAGGCCCAATAAGTCAAAGTTACTCATTAGGCTGCAGCGTGTCCTCCGCTCTGCAGAGAGGGTGATCGGCTGCAATCTGCCGTCCCTGCAGGACTTGTTCGCTTCCAGGACTCTGAAGCAGCTAAAAAGATGGTGGCCGACCCCTCTCACCCCGGACAAAACCTGTTTGTGCCCCTTCCATCTGGCAGGAGGCTGAGGTCCATCAGGACTAAGACCTCCCGCCACAGGAACAGTTTCTTCCCGTCGGCAGTCGGGCTCATCAACAGAGCCGGTCCCCCACTGACTGACCATAACACTCCACCGGTCACTCCCCTTCACACTGCACATGCCACTTTAACTGTAATTCATCACTTTGTCACTTGTCACTTTGTCTCTTGTCTGTTACTTGTTTGTTAGTGCACTTTATGCTTAATATTTTTCTTTTTAACTTTTTAATATTTAATTTTTTTTAACTTTATTCCCTTGTTTTATACTAACCCATAGCCTTAGCCTTATTCTACTAACCCATTGCATTAGCATTTCATTCCACTTTATTTTATTACTTGTGCACTGTTGTCTTGTCTGTCTACTGTCGCGCACTAACCGCCAAGACAAATTTCTTGTATGTTTGACATATTTTGGCTAATAAATGTTTCCTGATCCTTCCTGTTCCTGATCCTGATCCTGATCCTGATCCTGATTATGCAGGATGCCTTGTTGCAGCTCAGTAAAGCAAGATCAATTCAGTTAAAAAAAAAACAACAATTGACAGTATATTCACCTTTTGACTGTTAATGTTGTTTTTTATTAAAACAACATTAACATTGAGTATATACTCATAGGAAGAACTGGACTTCTTTGTCACCTCTGTGTGTCTCTTGTTGTTAACAGCAAATTTGAACAAATCTTACTTTTCGTGATCTGAAATGATGCCTTTATTCTGAAGCCGCAAATAGTTTCCGGTTGGTGCTGAGTTTTTTCTCTTGAAGCTGCTGCGTGTCTATGTAACGAGGGGGGGATTAACAAACTTTACTCTTTAGCTGGGTTACCCGGCCTCTAATATTACGGGCCCAAAATATGTATCTGTCTCTCAAACAGTCGATTGGCTGGTGTGTGTGTGTGTGTGTGTGTGTGTGTGTGTGTGTGTGTGTGTGTGTGTGTGTGTGTGTGTGTGTGTGAAGGTGACAAAGGAAAGGTGTGGTTCTTCTTCTCGTTATTCACACACCTGTGAGTCACCTTTCGGAGGAACGACTTTGAAGAGTCAGCATAGTTTCCCTCGTTCTGTTTGACGGGAAACAGCCTCAAACACTTGTCCCTCTTTGACATTGTTGGGCGACACAAACAAACCCCAGCGTGTAGTCAGGCTCCACAAATAACAAATAAAATAGGCCAATTGTTGTCATATTTTGACTCTTTAAAACACCAGATGTGTTTTGGATGTCCTCCTAAAGTGCCCTTGGAAATTATGACTATCAATATTTGACACACACATTTTGGGGTTTTGGGGTTATATATATATATATATATATATATATATATATATATATATATATATATATATATATATATATATATATATATATGTAAAGCCAATAATAAACATAAAGTCACGTTGTATTGGTTTGATTCACCCGGCAACAAGCTGAGTCACAGCCCCGGGGAGCCTTCCCACTGCCCGTCTGATTACCATGGCAACAAGCATGCCGCAGCAGTTTGTGTGTGTGTTTTGCTGAATCACTGACCACCGTATCTACCCACCAAACACCAGGCTGGTTTCCATGGAGACCAAAGCATCAGCCTCCAGCCAGCCAGAGCGCACTAACAACAGTAAATCCCGTCTGTTCTGTTTTCAAACGTTGGTTCATTAGTTCAGTCGACGGTGTGAATACATGCAGTTGTAAATACATTTTTAAAAAGAAATTCAACACATATTTGCCCCCGTAGTTACCTGTTAAGTGAAAACATAAGACATATGATGTGATGCGGTACTTTAGCAACAGTCCACCAAATACTACACAAACCAGCTCCATCGATGATACTCTTACTTGTGTGTTAGTGATATATAAAATAATATTACTATTATAATACAAAATAATATAATGCTAATATAATGTCCTATAACAAAGTAACACTGCAGCTGAATCATTCCAGGTCTACTTACATACTTTAGGTGTTGTACTCTGTATTTCATCAGTGCCACCTGCCGACCAGAGGCCCCAACTGACAATAAATACGGCCTTCAGATCCAGACTTTGAACCCATAAGAGCACAGAACAGACTAAAGGAACCACAAGGACATTTCAGTCTTCTTCTGCACCACAAGAGCGGCGAGGAGGATCTGGGCCACTTTTAAATATATATGGTCCAGTGAAGGAGACCCTCTTCTGCATCTTGCTCCAGATGTTGTAGGTCAGGTTCTAGGTGTTTGGCCTGGTCTATCAGAGCTCCTGATGGCAGCCGATGGTCCTCCAGCAGGGGGCGCCGCTGGACTCTTTCATTACATTAAAGAGAATTTAACTGGCGCTTTTATCCAAAGCGACTTACATTACATTTTTAACCCATTGCTTTTTACATTCTGCCCAGGGAGCAACTAGGTGTTTTGCTCAGGGACTCTTCGACTTGGGGCAGCCAGGACTCAAACCACCAACCTTGCGGTTCCCAGCACACCCCCTGCGCCACGACGACCCATTCTTTCCACTGCAGCCTTGTAGTGTTTCAGGAAGGAGATCTTCAGCTCTCAGCTGCTCCTCTGTGGCTCTGACTGTGTCTGAAAGAGCTGCTATCTCTCTGCTCAGAGGCTCCATCTTCTCCTCCATCATCTGACTCTTCTTCCTCCCTCAGAGCAGAGAGCCTGGCCTCCTCTTCCTCCTTTAGAAACGGGTGAAGTTTCTTGAAGTGGTCCTCAATCTTCCTCTCTGTGTGTCGGGCCTGGACCTTCACGTGTGCTGCTGTTTGATCAAACTTCTTTTTAACTTGTTCAAAAATAAGATAAAGTTAACATTTAATTTGATTTTCAACTTGTTGATAAATGACCCTTTTAGAACAGAGACATTGCATAGCGTTGGTGCTTTTTTGTCCAAAATAATAAAATAAACCAAACACAGTCCAGAAAGAGACCGAAGAACAGAGAAATTGGTGAGAAAAAAATGCCTTTTTAATAGAAACCGAGAGAAATGTGTGGATACAGATGGAAACGTTTCATAAAACATTTATGAATAAATGTGAATAATGAATGAATAATGTGTGACAAAACGACTCTGGAGACTTATCGAGAAAATCATGGGCAAAGTAATAAATCATCTCAGTCCGCAGTATACTTTAAATTCATAATCTGATATTTTTAACAGGGCGAAAGATGCAGTGTTCTTTTTTAAATAAACGTGAGTATATTTGAAATGTCATAAGCTGCGGTCGTTAATCTTGAGAATATAGCAAGTGAAAGCTACGTTTAAAAAAGTGATTCAAGCCCCCTAAAAAAACGGACCATCACGTCGACTCTTTTCTGATTAAAGCAGAAGATCCAAAATGTGTCCTTTTAGGCCACGCCCCCAAAATCCTCATCACGCGCATGAGCATCGTTAGCGCCCTGCTGTTTGAGGTCCTGCAAAACACTCAATTTCATTTATTCTCTATCGAAAGCAAACTTAAACATATTTAACAAAGAATTATGTATTTTTGAAGTGGAGCCTTAAAGCTGAATATCTTGTGACCGGGAGAAGCTCAACGTAGATCTAGACTGAGTTTAAAATAGAAGACTGAAGCAACAAAAAAATGAAAAACGCATTAAATTTTGATTTTCTATATTTTTCTTAGGAGCAATAAAACCCATGAACAAAAACAAGTGGTTTTCCTTTCCACATTTCCATCATATCAATGTTCCTTTGTTACTAAGAAAAGACAGATATCCTATGAAACCCAATGTGGATTAATCCGCCACTGAAAATAGTCCCTGCACCACTTCCTGTTGTTGGACTTAAAAGCAGCAAATACCAAATCTTTAACCATCAGCAAGCGTAGTTGTGATACAGTAAGTAGTATTTCAGCATTTCTTATCATTTCATTTTTGTTAATTAAAAAGTAAGAGTCTTATTTTGAAAATCTCTCACTTGAGTCTGCAGTTTATTTATGACCTTTTTAAGATTTATCAGATATAATCAAATATTTGGGGGGTGAAGCAACGTGACGGGTCTGGTTGAAGGTTTCAGCGTTAGACTTCAAATTCATAAACTATCTTTAGACTTAAAGAAAAACAAACAAAGGAATCCATTTTAAAGCGAGATATAAATATAAAGCACAAGAAAGAAGGAAATTATTGTTTCTTCCCGTAAAGCAACAGTGTGTTTACCCTCTAAGAGGAACGGCACGATTTACACTTGGTCATTTATTTTGGCCTAATTTTTAGGCCAAATTTGGTTCCTGAACGCATCGTCAGGTTGTGGCGAAAACACTTAAAATAAAAAAGTACATCACAACAGTAACAGAAAAAGAATTTAAACTATACTGAGAAAAGGCATTCTTCATAGATTTCATAGAAACCAAAAGCACAGAAGCAAAGTTCCCCTGTTATGGTTATAGAAAAGTTACATATGTGGAAGATTCAAGTGGAAACAACAATGTTTAAAAACCAAATTTGTGATGACGTTGGAGGAATTACAGAAAATACATTTATATATATATATTATTATATTTCCTTTAGGTACATTGGCTTAAAGACAGAAAAATAAAGCACCATAACAACAAAGATCCTAACATTATATATATATATCTATATATCTATATGTAAATAGATATATACACACACATATAGAAAACCCATAATATACAACATGCAGAAGTTTGTGTCTGACGTAACCATAGAAACACGCTGAGAATATAAATAAAACATTAATAGTGTACAATGCTGATGATGAATGAATATCAATCAAGAAAAAGGCTGTTGGTGGCGTTTGATGCCGATTGGTTGACCAGCTTGTTACCGTGGTGACCGAGGCGGATGTTTGTTTCTTTAATGTACATTTTTACAGGTTAGAACCGCGTGTGTTGGGTTGTAGAGTTCTGGAGATGCCGAGCAGTCTTTGATAAAAACACAACATGCATGTACAGGAGGCTGGAAGCACCGGATGAGATGGAGGTCGTGATGACCAGCAGATGGCACTGAAGAAGAAGCGCTTCAGTCCTTCATGACCACGTTAAAGGAATCAGCCTCATGGGCGTAATGCGAGGGAGATGGATGCAGATACTGTGCAGAGTTTGGACTATTTAAACGCAGTTATTGTGAAACCTTTTCAGGCTTCACCCTTTGACGGCGAGGATCCGTCAGCATTTCCCGGGCGGCGTCTTTCAGGACGTTTTGAGTTTGTTCTTGAGACCGTTGCTTCCTGCTACGAACCGGGAACGCGGACCTCCGCCCCGGTCCGCGCAGCCGCCCATCTGTCCGCGGTCAGAACCCCACCCTGCCCGCCCCTCTCCCTCTGCGTCTTGGCGAGGTCGCTCGCGATGGCCAGCGCCCCCCCTTTCAGGAAGCGAACAAAGTTCTCGCCGACCAGCGGCCCCATGGCGTACAGGCCCGGCCCGTCCGCCGCCACCACCCTGTTGGTGAAGGGGTGCACCTCCACCGGGTTCCTCCGGCACGTGATGGGCTCCTCGGGGTTGACGCCGAGCGAGCGGCCGTTGTCGGCCAGGAAGGAGAGGTTCGGGTGGGCGCCGATCAGAACCAGCGCCTTGGAGATCTGGACCACGGTGCGCTGGCCTAGGTCCGACTCCAGGACGCACTTGCGGTCAGGCCGGAATGCCGCAACTCTGTAGCGCGGGAAGCTCAGGTAGCCCGGGTAGGAGGAGGGGCACGAGGAGGTGGAGGGGGAGGGGGAAGGGAGAGAGGAGGGGCTGGAGTGGGCGTGTTCTTGTGGCGGTGGGTCCGGCTGGTACTGCTGCTGAGTCATCATCTGGTGAACCTGGACGGCAAAAGATGGAGAGTGAGTCCGACTTCGGGGGATCAACATGGACACAAGAAGCTGGTGAGACAAACGCTGACACCTTGTGGTACTCTGGGTAGAGCAGCTTGGGCAGCTGGTTGAAGATGAGGCCGGGGTCGCTGACCGAGCGCCTGAAGGCGTGGTACACCGGCGTGTTGAGGTGGTGGGCGGCGAGCACCGCGTCGGCAGCCGTGAGCCCCGCCCCCACCACCAGCACCGGGTCCGACGATTGGTCGAGCTCGCCGCGGGAGATGGCCGCCTCCAGCTCCCAGAAAGAGTGGCAGACGTAAGGCAGCGACTCGCCCTCCACGCCGAGCCGGGCCGGGATGTCGTGGGTCCCCGTCGCCAAGACGACGTTGTGGGCGTAGAAGGAAAAGGGAACCTCCTCCGACACGGCGCAGCCATCTAGCAGGAGGCGGAAACGGGACGTGCCACGTATTCATTTATTAAAAAGAACACGTGATTATCGGGACAGGTTTATTTTTTAATTCAGTTTTTGGGGGTTTCCGTTGATTCGCCGTACCTCCAAGCTCCTCCCTCTCTCTGCGCTGCAGCCCCGTCACTCTCCAGCAGGGCGGCGACCCCTCCAGGCCGCCGGGCTGTCTGGTTACAGAGGTCACGGCGGTTCCGCAGGCAAAGTTCTGCTCGAGGGACATCTGGGAGACGTAGTGTTGGTAGTAGGAGGCGATCTCCGCTGGGGTGGCGCGGTCATTTCGAACGTTTCTGGGATAAAATATGTACATTATGTATATGCACCTAATACACTATTATTATTATTATATACACACACAAACTGGCATTTAACTCATTGGACTAAAAGGAAGTTTAAAAATAGGAAGGATAATAAAAGGTTCCCAGAAAAAAAGAAAAAGGCCTCTTGTTCCCCTCATGGAAATGAGCCGGGAGTCATTTGACAGACAAAGCAGGAGGAGAAACGTACCGGGCAGTTCTTCATCAACGATTCAGAGATCCATTATTAAAGGGGACTGAACCACTGACTTTAACGTTGACAAATTGTTCCGGAGAAAAAGGCCAGAGAAACGTGTTGCAACTGCGAGTGCGTTTCGTTGTCCCCTGTTGTGTATCGAACACACGAGTGTCACACGCGAGTCGACTGAGGACAAACCTGCGCTTCTCTCTCATCCAGTCCTTCAGTTTGAGTCCCGGAAGCTCCATCCAGTTAGCCAGACTCAGAGTCAGCATGGAGCCCTCCATAGCCTGCACACACACACACACACACACACACACACACACACACACACACTTTCAATTTCGACCCCTTTTTTAAATGTTCTTTATGGAACATACAAATTAATACATTATTACGACCCTGCAGTAATGACTTATCCGTATTCTGGATACGTACATGCCAGGCCCCCCCAGGCGGACCCTTCCCCAGCACCAGGTGCGGGACGGCCCGCTCCGGCTCGTAGCGCCACTCCAGCGGCGACGTGTGGTCCAATCCGAAGTCGCTGTCGGGGAGCAGCAGCGAGTCGAAGAGCACGGCCATGGGATTGGACGAGCGGCCCTCCAGCCCCTCGCACAGGTACTCCAGATCTGAAAGGGGTGGGGGGGAACACTGTGAGGGCCTGTCGCGCGCCCGCACTCTTTCGTGAAAGTGACTCCACTTTATTGGCTGAAGGCTTTACCTGCTCCAGCAGCGACAGGTGAGGCTGCTCCCCCAGCTTGCTGTGCAGCAGCGGGTTGGGGTGCGACGCCTCGGGCGACAGTTACGGCGTGTAGCCCGACAGCAGGTACGAGAGCCAGATCCCCGACGGGCCGTTACTTAGGAAACAGAGGGAGGGGGGGGGGGGGCGGCTGAGCTGGTTTCCAGTTGCACCGGTAACCCAGAAGGAAATGCTCTGCTGGGTGGCTCATTGTGAGCATGTGGAATGTTTGCACTTGGTTGCTGCGGTAACCAACGGGACGAGGAGGGGGGGGTTTATAATCTGTCTCAACAACAAAACAAAGCTACAAAGAGCGTAAAGACACCACGCGGTGTCTCTGGGACAGAACCATGACTCAGCAGGTTTACACGCAGCGACCCGCACAGGTGACTCGGCAGAATCCAAAGCGCTCACTCGCCCGCTCACGACCACCAATGGATGCCACTCTGCACGTTTCTACATACATTTGGACTTTAAATCAAATGAACCTAAATCCTGCAGAAAAGAGGATGTTTGGATCTTTGCTCGTCTCCCTGCCGGTGATTATTACATCTGGAGCTTCCTGCGGCTCGTGTCGACACGGAGCGCGTCTTGCTTTAGACAACGTGTTGCTCAACTCTAACTGCAGCCCTGCGAAATAATCTGCTAGGTTAGAGAAGGGGGGGGTTGTGCTATGTCACCATTGTCTAACCATCTACCAGCTTCTCCTTTCTGCATAATCAAAAACCACAAAGTGCGATTGTATTTTCTTACCAATGACCACGACGGGCAAAATCTCTCCAGGGGGGATTTCTTTATCGTGACGATCCATGTTCTTGTCTGAGGAGAGAGAGCCATATTATTATTATTATTATTATTATTGCATCAAATAACTACCACTATTACATTATCACCACGGTTATCTGGGAGGAAGTAGAGGAATGGTGAATTGGTTAATCATTGTTAAGGTTGGTCCCAATGGTCAGTCAGTACATTTCCACTGACCTCTGACACACACACACAACCTTGGATCGACAGACACTCCGATATGGCGTCTCCACAAACACACACATCAAAAGCAGTGTGACCTCATCGAGAGACGAAACCGCAATAATGATGATACAGAAAATATTCCCCCTGAAATGTTTGAAGACGCAAGAACAACCCTGACATTATTTTCTTAACAGGCTTTAAATGTGATTCAACGTGACTCAGCCTCACAGTGGAGTTTATTCAGTCACAGTGGAGGCAGATCTCATGACACGCGTGTATAAAAGAACATGTGGGGCTCCAGAAGAGTCAAAGTCCACAGAGAAGAAGCTCCTTCAAAAAGTCTGCCGCCGTGGAAGCTGAAGGGAGCGTTTGTGGGGTTAAATATTCAACGAGTTCAAAGAGTTAAACGCCGATCCCGATGCCAACTGTGATCTCACTCAGGGAGGGGTGAGCCGAGGGCGTCCAACGATCTGCAGAGTCATGCTTACACGGGCCGGCAGAAAGTACGACATCGCATGAAGGGAGGAAAGAAACGGAGGGAGGGGAAGAAAAAAAGAAAGAGAGAGAGAGAGAGAGAGAGAGAAAGAGAGAGAGAGGGGGGGGTAAGAGATAAAGAAGGTTACATAAGAGCAGGTTGAAGGGCTGCACACACACACACACACACACACACACACACACACACACACAGAGGATTGGTTTTCCTTCACTTCTGGCAGCAGACACTACAAGTATGTGCACCAAGATAAAAGTGGCCAACGCCCGATTCAGTCAGAGCCATTGTGGTTTTCAGAGCTTCAAGGTCCAAAATGTTGATGACCTTCAGGCCGAACCGGTTTGTCCTCCGACCGCAGACATTTCGAAAGGAAGGTTGGTAGTAGCAGCATGCATTTAATAAGCTTTGTACCGTGATCTTTGCATCACAACAATGACGCAGCACTTGTGCGAGGTATGCAGGGTCATCAGGTTTCCTCAATCTGATCTGATTCAGTGGCACCGAGATCAATAAAAAGGATACCGGTCAATCACAATAAATAATGTTTTCTGGACTCCTTTGTCCACAGCAATCATTACAAACACCACATTAACTTCCTGTGATGACGCAAGAGCCGATCCTCACTTTAAGATCGCAACAGCAGATAAAGAATTAAAACAAAACGCTGTTTCTTCAGTTTATCAGAGATTGATAAAGGAAAATTATAAGAACACCCAATGCGACCCACATTAATCTTCTTTTTCACGAAGAAAGAAACTTCAATATTTAGGAATCAAAATCAATTCTTAAAACAGTACAAAAATGAATTTGTGATAGATAGATGGATCAAATCTGTGACTTTAACACATTTTGGTTCCCTTTTGAGTTTTTAACCTGTGCGATAGAGCTCTTTGTTTCTTTGCATTAAATGAACTCCTGCAGCGACGGCGTCCTGCAGTCGGATCGCACGGCCCGTCTGCCATCTGACAGCTAATGAGATTTGAATTACCTTCCCACTGAACGAGGGAAACGTCAGAACATCTGACGGAAACCTGCCGCAGACGACACACTCGCTGCATCGCTGATGTGATGAAGGAGTTTGAAAGCTCATTTCAAAATCTTTAATAAGAAAAATGGTTGTGCTTCCAACAGAACAGGTTCATTTGTTCTGCTGCTCTCTTCTTCTTCTATTTCCCTTCCTTTTTGGAGGCAAATATTTTACAGCACTAAAATATTATTGTGACATAAAAACAAATACGTTTTGACGCATTTACATAGACATGAAATTTACATCTAACAGCAACTCCAACGTGATGATCACATCAATTGTATTCATATCAATTGTAACAATGTAATATACATTGTTCGTAAATAAACCATTTCTGCAAATATAATATGTTGAAAGGCTTTTGATGTAAATACTTTTGTACTTTGACAGAAGTCACATTTGGAATTAAGACTTTTACTTGTAACAGCATTTATAAGAAACATTTTTTTTAATATTGCCGTTTACTGAAATGACGGATGCTCACTGTTAGAGTTAAACGTCAGTAACAGAGTAAGTATTCAGTAGTAACAAGGCGTCGGTCGCGTTCGCTCACACGTTTCATTGAGACGTTAAGATTGTACTTGTGAGATAAAAGATACTTAGCATTAATGCTAGCGTGCTAAACACGCCACTAAAGAGTCCAAAGGGAGCGGTGCACCTGTTGGGCGCACACCGGCTCTCCGCGTGTCTACGGCGGGCTGAACAGCCAACAGCCCCGGGGCAAGTGTTGACGGGGACAACCGTCTTTACCTGGGGGGCTACAAGGTATCAGCTGCCCCCCCCCCCCCCCCCCCAGAGAGGAGCTGGGCCATTAAGCTAGCATCGAGCCGGCAATGGTAACAAAGAGAAGGAGAAGGGTGCCATGACAACGCAAAAAGAGCGGCTCGTGACTTCAGCCTCGTCCTCTCGTGACCGGGGCCCTCAGGACGCGGGACTCTTTGATTCCCGGCTCCGGGTGGCGGGGGGGGGGGGGGGGGGGGGGGGGGGGCCCTTGGGGGAAATTTGGGAGGGGAAAATAAACCGGGGGGGGGGGGGGGGGGCCCCTTTAAAATGAAAATAGGGGTCCCCCCCCGAAATCCCCCCCTCCGGAGTTTACAAAAATAAGGGAAAGGGTTATCCACGGGATTTTCCCCCGGAGACCGGGGTTTTTTTTACACAAAAAGGGAGAGGAATAAGTCTGATATCTTCTCCTTCCGCTCAGGCTCTCGTTCCTCGAGGCGATCGAGCGGGTTTGTTCCGTACATGTGCGACGTGAGCCTCCCGCTGCTCGCAGCCGCGCATTCACAGATTATATATGCTGCTATCGCCAAGTCCGACCTCACGGACCAATCAGAAGCGAGCACCACCAGCCCCCCCTCCCTCATACGCGGTAACGTCTGCCAAGGAGCAGAGATCGTCTACGAAGAGAGAGCGCGCGAGGACGGACGTAATGACGTAACACGGGGAAGAGTCTGTTCGGTAACATCTCCAGGAGACGGAAGGACTAAACGTAGAGCCGCTTAAAAAGTGTTAATGTTCAAAAGAATGTCTTCCCCACACAATGTGTGTGTGTTTTAAGGTCATTTTAACTTTTCACCTACTTACTGATTCGAATAGAACCTAATATTAATGTATATTGATTCGGCAGCGATGACGGTTTCCGGAAGTGTGAACAGAGTGGGCGCTCTGTTGTTTCCCGCCTCTCAGACGCTCCGCTCTGTACAGTAACAGTTGGGTCGATTTTTCCACCAGCCACTTTGGCCCTGATTCACATTATCTGGTGGATGGACCTTTACATTCATGGTTCATTTTTTAATGACCGCAGAATAAACATCGGTGATCCCTTCACATTTCATCATCGGGTCTAAATGTGTTCAATATTCAAAGTAATGACCAAAATAATTACCTGCTAAATATTTGCTTATTAAGAGAACATGACTATTGTAATAACATCAACACTTTTATTTTAAAAGGACATTTACAACTTTTCATTAATAGGTGATATGTAAATATGTACTGAGGTTGTACTAAGCAAAGTTATGTCGCATTTCTTTCCTTACTAAGATATTATGGACATTTGTGAATTACTTTATTTGTGCTTACAATTGGCTTTTTAAAATCCCTTTTGCTTTTTTGTTATTAATCAGAGCACAGTTGTGCTCCAGCTGCTTTTCATTAAACCGTGTCATGAAAATCACACAGGGCCGGTCTCCTGGTTGCAAGTTTCTTAAACACATTTTGCTATAACATTTGTTAAATAGCAGGCAGCAGCCACCTGGCTTCTCTCGTTGCAAGAAGTTTGTCTGATTGTATAGACGTCTATGAGAAAATGACTCTACTTCTCTCTTGATTTATTCCCTCAGTAAACACTGTAAACATGAGTTCATGGTCTCAGTCTCTAGTTTCAAGTCTTCTCCAACACAGCATGATGTTCATTTAGTGAATGATGGTCTAGAGTCAAACAGACCATGAAGCAGGGGATGCTTTAGGCTACACGCTGATTGACAGGTGGTGTCGCTACCATGGCTGTGTAAGTGGTCTCACTCCTCCACATTCCAAATATGGTCATGTCTGTGCGCTATTTGCAACAAAGCCACAGCGGCGACGGCCACGATGCCAAAGTCAAGGCTTCAAAGCTGAGTCCATAA